ATTAAACATGCAAATAATGATGGAAAATTTTAATATTGAAAGGGAATATTGATATTGTAATATCATTTCAAAGTAAAATATGTATTTAAATATTTAAAATAATTTATAATTAAGTTATTAATTACAAGTTAAATTAATTACAAGTTAAGGTTCAAACCCAGGTACAAGCCCAGATGGCCCGTTTTGTAGCTGATGCACGCAAACGTATATAATGTATTTGATTCCTATTCGAATTCGAATAGTTCGCACATCTTTATGTGTTTAAGTAATTCAATTTTTGAGAAAAAAAACTCTCGAAACTAAATGACACTCGTAATAACATTTGCCGACCGATACGAAAGGACTAACTCTGCAAATAAACGCAGATAGATTGTACGTTGTGCGTTTGTGTTACGATCACTCGAAGGACTTTTCATACAACCTGATTCTTTTTCCCATCAAATGATGCACCGGCTCGCGCAGTTCGCTTTATAATTTCCATCTGCTTTTGGATCCTGTCCCACACGGTATGTCGAGCAAGGATTTTCCAACATTCGTCCCGACATATCTGGTCCTCGCTTGCGAATAATGTATCGTGCTGCTGGAGTGACTCACTCGATGAGTTATCGCCCGTGACTTTCAGTGGCCGCCTGCAAATTCTCGAGCTCATTGTGCGCGATGCCGTGCGACTATACGACGATATCAAGGTCGTGTAACAAACGGGGCAAATCGATTGCATATCGACTCGATCGATTACTCTCAGGAGCGATTTCAGCCGGAGCACATACTGCGGCGGTGCCGCGGAGTGTTTTTCAAACGTGTCGTACGCAACAGCTTGTATTTTTCGTTTGAGAGTCCGGTACACCGATGAAGCACTCAATGCCGTTTGCCATTTCGCGCGTACATTTGTACGAGCTTTAACTTATGCAACGAGAGCGTTTTTAACTGATCAGCGGGATTCGTCGTACGGTAATAATCTTACTGAAATATATTAGGTAAATCGGAAAGTTCCGTCCATCTAGCGATAAGTAGCTATAGCTAAAACTATCATTAACCTCTAATGTCTGAACGAAGCTTAATAGTTTGTTTTGACATCTGTCAATAACATTCAGTATATAAAGGTATACATTTGCATCAATAACATTGTTTTTTACCGCATCGAAAATGTCGAAATTTGAAACAAATAAGCGTCACTATAAGCGCGGAGTATTAATCTTTTGCTTCAATTGGAAGAAAATTGCAGCTGCAGCTCATCGAATGCTTGTAGAAGTTTATGGTGATAATGCTCCTTCCGATAAAACATGCAGAGAATAGTTTCGACGCTTTAAAAGTGGTGATTTTGATGTAGAGGATGAAGAGCGTTCTGGAGTACGGCCAAGAGTACTCGAAGAGAAAGAATTGCAGGCATTGGTGGACGAAGACCCATGTCAAATGCAAAAGCAACTTGCAGAAGCATTAAATTGTGTTCAATCTTTCATTTCCGATCGTTTGAAAGCTTTAGGAAAGGTTTATAAGGAAGGAACATGGGCGCCATATGAACTGAAGCCAAGAAACATTGAAAAGCGAAAAACCACCTGCGAAATTCTGCTTGCTAGGCAACAAAGAAAAAGGTTTTTACATCGTATCATCATCACTGGGGATGAAAAATGGATTTATTTGGACAATTCCAAACATCGAAAAACTTTTTGCGATCCCGACTAACCCTCAACATCGACGCCAAAGCGGAATATCCACGGAAAGAAGGCGATGTTCTGTATTTAGTGGGATCAGAAGCTGTTGAAAAGTGATCAAAACAGTCATAGGGGATCTCTACAGAGAACAAATGGTTCGTTTGAGTCAAGCATTGCACGAGAAACGACTAGAATATGAAACGAAACAGCATAAAGTGATTTTGCTTCATGACAACGCTCGGCCCACGTCACAAAATCTGTCAAGGAAACGTTAGAAGCACTTCGCTGGGAAGTGTTTCTTGCCCATGCGGCTTGTTCATCAAACAATGCCCCCTTTCGACTACCATTTGTTTCGGTCGATGGCACACGCACTTGCTGACGAATGCTTCAATTCTTATGAAGACGTCGAAAAATGGGTCTCGCCTCCAAAGATGAGTCATTCTTTCGCCGCGGAATTCGCTTGCTGACCGAAAGATGGAAAAAAATCATCGCTAACGACGAACACTATCTTGATTGATGTACTTTTTTACTTTGTTTCTTGCATAAAGCCATACGTTTTGCGAAAAAACGGACAAAACTGTCCGATTGACGGAACGTTTCCATATTTCCAACTTCCGTAACATGTATTCAAGAGATCAAGGTAACGTGAGTTGTGAGATTTAGAGGAAGCAATACATTTACGTGAAAAAAATCACAACAGAGATAAAGGCGCGTCGCAGGAAAAAAGCAGAGAGGTAACTCCGCCGCAGATGAAGAATGTTAACGCTGCGTGGCGGCTGAGAGATATAAATCACACCAAACACTGCTATCGACGCACGGCTGCACTGGCCGTGTGAGTTTTTACCGCTACTAAGGGTGTGTACCCGATTCAACTATCGTACGGCTGCTGATTGAAAGAGGCCTAGCCGAGTGCCGTCATTAGTAATCCGCGCCGCGCGTTTCCACTGCCGCTTCTTTCATCCCGCAGACGATTTCTTCGGCCGACTCGCGGCGTCGGAGCGACGCCGCGAGTCATTTCGACGGCTATTCGCGGCGGAGGTGCTGCATTTTTTTCGCACGCCGGCTCCGGTTATCTTTGCACGCTCGTGCGAACGCGACCCTTTCTGCTCGCTAGCGACAAAAAGACAGCTCCGTGAGAAATTACGACGTTCCCGTTACTCGATCGGATACCAATCGAACTGGTAGCTACGACGCGCTCGCCGCGGTCGTCGTGACTTTTAAAATAGTTTTTCTAACGACCACGGTCGTTAAAGTCGTCGGCGCTCCCGACGGAGTTTACGCGAGAGCCTACCTTCATCGCAGCGCGGCGTTCGGCAGCGCTCGCACGCAGAGCGCGCCGGACGGAAGACTTCGATCGCGTCGCAAGGCAAAAAGCCTTTATATAATTGACGAAGTTTACTCATCGGCGTGAAAAATGGCGTGAAAACAGAAAGATAAAAAGAAAACGAGCATAAGAGAACAAACGTGTCTCAGAATATCGCAGTAGCGTACCAACAAAACGTCCATCAACGTCGCTTCGCGCACTTCCGAATGACGCCGGGGGCGACGTGTCACAGTGCCGTTTGTGCCGATCGCAAAAGTGCGCCTGCGAAACAATCCGTTCCGGCCGCTTTCACCGAGGAGATGTCAGCGCTCGCGATTCGTAAGAGATCTCTCGTGGAGAGATTCGGCGCGGACGAAACCGGACGTCTGCATAATACCGTATAATCGCGGTTTAGGTAACTCCATCGCGATACTCCCTCCGCGGGAACTCTAAACAGTAAATTTGCGCGTGGAACACGTTATGTTATTAACTTCCTTCTTATCTGGCACATCGACGAAGGCGCTCCGCCGCCATTGGTTAATCGAACGTTCATCTTCCGCTTCGATCCTTCCTGGCTGAGCGATCGTGCGCGTTTAATATTTATGACGGGCTCGTACACGCCGCTGGTTAGCGCCGATTACGTAATCGTTATTTCAGCGGATAATAAACAATCGATATATTTTCTCGCGCAATTCCGATTAATTAAGTCGGCGGTAGAGACGACGCGGACTCTCGATCGAGTGCGTTTCGTGCGGTTTCACACGTTTCAGAAGTTCATTCCGTTTCAAGAGGAACGTAGAAGCGCCGGAGTTTGCGTGCCACGAAGAAAGTCGGCGCGAGAGACAGGCTGATGATTTGATAATTTGCCGTTGCCGATTAACGAACCGTGCTGATGGATTTGCTAATTAGCGCGCTGACTTACTGCCCCGCGATATCGATCGCGATTTACGATATCCAGGCGCGCGTATCCCGCCGAGAAAATTTTTCTCAGGCGTCTCGAGCGGGGAAAGTTCTTGTAATTAAGTGCGCGTGCGCTTCGCCGCCGGGACACCCGGAAATGTTGCTCATTTTTCTTCCTCTTGTTCTCCGAGTCGCGCGATCATAAAAAAAAGAAAAGTAATTTCAGAACAAGCGGAATCATCTAAATTTTAGAGGACTTTATTCTTCTATAGATGGCCGCGAGAGGATTTCTCTAAGATTAAGAGGAAAATATTATAAACGCATCATTCTTAAAGTTAGAGGGATTATATGTTATATGTATAATGCAAATCTTATTGATTTTAATATAAATTTCCTCTTATACATGGATTATTTAATCTTTTTTTAAGAGAATTATTATTTATTCTTACTATACTTTATTCTTACTTATTTTAATTTGAAAAAATTATTATAATATATAAAAGTAATGTATATAGGTGCACTTTTGGCTCCAGTTCTACAATAAGTAGGCATGAATAAAATAAGATCATCATCAACAAATCAATTTCCAATCAGTTTTATTATGGATTTTATAGCTACAAAGATGTTCATCATAACCAATTGTATAAAACATAGCTAAAGAAAGAATATATTATTCAACTTTTTGCACTAAATTATAAACTGTATTTGACCAGATATATTAGTAAATTATCTTCGTTATATGTTACAGCAACACACATATCTTTTTCAACAAGCATTCTAAATATTCTGATCCATGAACCTATGAGGTTATTTTTTCGTCTGAAGATAAAGCATGACTGAACAAAAGAAGAAGATATTCGAATCAACATATTCCTCTTCATATAAGAGGAAAATTGAGATAAGAGGAAATCCTCTTGAAATAAGAGGAAAACAGTTAGAATAATATTTAGTAAATTTTAGATGAACGATTCACTTTAATCACTTAATCGCTTTATCGAAAGAGGAGTCCTCTTCCTCTAAAAGACTTAGGATATGAGACTATGGGAAAAATCACTTTACAAACGGAATATTTTTTTTTAATGATCATTTTATCCTGCACGAAACGAAACGTTCACTCCGACTCACGATCCGCGATCCGCTTGTTTCAGGTCTGATGATGGAGTCGGAGAAGAAGATCTTCGAGATGATGAACAAAAAGGCGGCCATGTCGAAATACTGGATGCCGCTCGTCTGGGCGACCAACATCATCAACAGGGCGAGGAAGGAGGCTCTGATCACCAGCGATCAGGTGGTGCAGACTCTCCTCGTCGAGCTCAGCGATATCCGGAAGAGGCTTGGCGCATTGATCGGTTACGATACCGTTTGCGTTCCTCTAGTCTACACTCAGGTGAGCACGTTTGTTGCGCGCGCGCCGCGAAATCGAGCGACGCTCACGACGATCGGATGCGTTAGCGATTTCACAAAGTTCGCGCTCTAAGCTCTCGCGTAATACGACGAAGCCGGCTCATAAATATGCATCGATGGCAGATACCGATAAATTTATCAACCAGCGTTGTCTATCTGATTAATTGGATTCGATTGATTGATAAAATGCATTGAATTGGTAAGCAGAGAGTATAAATCTGCGAGGCAGCGGCTGCGCAATCCATTTATCCTGGGATCAACAAAAGTGAAATAATTTGTTTTATTAACTCTCTTGTACTCTTTTCGCACACCGCATGCCAGTAAGAAGGAGACAGACAGACAGAGCGAAAGAGGCGGGGGGAGAATATTACTCAAACAATCTCTTCCGTTTGTCCTCTTTGCCGTGGATACCGTATAAAGAGCAATTACGATACGCGTCGATAGCGTCACTTGTCATTGGCAGATGTCGAATATATGTTACGTGAATGTCTTCATCGTTTCCCGATGGTCGCGTCATTATCATGCTTTGAGCATTAGAAGCGTGACGCATTATTATGTAATTCTTCTCGTCGATCGCATCCGATACATTATTTACATTTTATCTGCAATTTGTGACATCGGACGGCGCCACGGGTAAATATAGATGGAAAGATCCATTGCCATTGTTTCTAACGTTACTTGAAACAATCGCCCAGTCCTCTGCATACGGTACTCGAATATATCTCATTGTCGTTTGATGTATTAGTAATGTAAATGAATAATCCAAAATTTTCAACTAAATTCAAAGTTCATTTCAAAAGAAAGTAAAACTAATTCGTCAATCAAAGTATTCGCCGTTGTTTTTTTATAATTTTAAATCAACTTTCAGGCAGCTGATGAGTTCCATCTCGGAAAAGTGTTGTGTTTTCGGACACGATAAAGAGTTGTCAAGCCATTTTCAAGCCATAAAATAATTTATCCGTAGCTTTGATCTGATGTTTTCAAATCATCAAGCATCAGGTTTTCAAAACAATCATTTTCTAAATACATTGTTTAAACAATTTTGTTATAAACAGATTATTTTGCAGCTTTTTTCCGCTGTATTTGTTATTTTTATCGTACTTCATGCATATCACATTTCTTCGCATTTATGTTGAACGGCTTTGTATACTCTATTGCAACGTATATACTGTGTTAAAACAATGATTTTGTTTATGTGGACAGGAGATTAGCAATTGTTAACTGCCAAATTCTGATTTTTATATCACATTCGTAATCAGCGATGCTGAAAACCTTAGTACGCTGTACTGCGCAGCGAAAACAAATGGAAAGTTTTTCCATTTGTAACAGAGGCTCGCAAAACTTGATTGAATTTCTTACAAATTCTTTTTAATACTGTAAAATTTAAAAGAATGTTTTCAAAAATCGGACTCGACAATATTTTTCTACATTGATTAACGTTTAATTAAAAAAAAAAAAACGCATTCCGATTGCTATAAAATTATGGTCTCTAGCGATTTTTGAACAGTAAATTTCTATTTGTTCCCACTGTGCGACGATGTCACACACGTCGCGCAAATAGCACACTCGTCACCTACGCGACAATGTAACTTATTTCTTCTTTTTTTCTTCGTCTCACGGTTATCCCGCCGATGATTCTGCCTGTTCGGCCGAAGGATTCAAAATCGCATTCGAGATCACTGGGCCGCGACTCCAGACGAAACTGGATTCGCTCCCGGAAAAACGGGTTTCGCATCTCTAATTAACCGACATGCGTTGTGCAATTGTAATTGTCCATCAATTAACCTCTCTAACCGTCGGCTGCGAGTACCATTATTTTCGAGAAATTAAAGACCGTGCCATTTCGCAAATCCGGGCGAACGTGATGCGACGCGGAGCTGCTCTCGATCTCTGTTGCGGCACGTTTCGCGCACCGCCACGAAGAGACTTTGAGAGAAGCTGCTCTTGAGAGGAAGCTCATTATTCTCGTCGCTGTGAAAGATTCGCATCGCTAATTTACCTCGATACAAAGATAGTCTGTCGCTGATGCATTAATTTCATCGTTTCCCTTACAAGTTGAGAAATTACCGAGCGACGTATCTGATAATTTTACCTTAATTTCGCTGTTGTATAATTATTACAAGATACACGACACATTTATCATACTCTGGGTTTATCGAGCTAATAATAATAACCAGTATTTAATGAACTTGAAACACGAGAATCGGGAGAGGAGCATCATAAAATTTTATCGAAATCGCTACATAATAATTACACCCCATCAGACAAATTGTCGTTGCTCTGGGAAAGCCGGCAAAGCAACGATGCGTCAAGCATATTTTTCTTCGCGTTCAAAACGTATTTTTCTTTTCTTACCCGTAGATCGTAACACAAATCTCGAGCGATAGCGTGATTCGCGTCATATTCCGTGAAATCTCAAGAAGATTACATGTAACGACCGCGGAGTGTTCACCGTGTAATGATATATCCGTCGAAAATTAATACCCATTTCGAATGCACTCGCTGTTATTGCACGTAGCTGCGTTTACTGTTATTGTAAGCGCTCTTGCTCCTTGATGAAACCCTTAAGACACATTGTGTCTTACTCCATGTACTGTGATAACGAATATTTCACCCGAGCCTGCGATAATCTTTCGCAACGGACAATATTTTCACCTCTCCAATTAACGTATAATTTCACTAGCCAAACAAAAGTATGAAAAAAGAAGTAGAGAAAGTAAAAATTCGTTCCATTCGGAGGACTGATATCGAAATAACGTGTCGAGGTAACCTCTTTGCGCGATTTGCTCTGAAGGAGATATGAAAGGAGAATTATGAAAAATAATAATTATCAAAAATTATCATTATTAAGATAGAATTATAGCACATTATATCAATAAAATATACGTAATTATGACACATTATTTCGCGATTTCTCTCTTTCTCCGTCTCTCTTTCTTCGTCTCTCTCATAACCGTGTTGATATTTATATCAGCCATAACGTGCTGTGATAAGTTCATTTAGGAATGCGCCGTCGAACATTTTCTGAAATTTCCAGTGACGAACGCGGCGCGGATAACGAATCGCGCATGAAACGCGGAGCCGATGCGCGTTGCACATGGTCAAGGTCGACGAGAGAGTTGAACAGTAATTTTTTGCCGCGCCGCGATACGTCACGCCTTCAGGAGCGATTTCGTGCCACATCCGAGAGAGGCATCTCGCCGTCTTCGGTGAATCCGAAGCGTGCGTTTCGGGCTCGCGCAGATTTATTAATTGTCTCTTTATGCAAGTCGCGCTACATTTTTGCGCGAACCCACCGTTTCCCGAAACCTTCGCTGAGAAAGGCGCTATTCGCCACGGCCTTGATATTCGTTCATTCATTCAAACCTGTTTGCCTGCGCTTACGCGACGCAAAGAGAAGCGACGGAAATATCCTTGCGAAGCTCAGGACTTCCGATAGTAAACTAATTATCCTCCATCATGACCGCGCTTCCGTTCGTCGAAGCTGCGGAGCTTTAAACGAAACGGACTGTGGCGCAGCCGCGTTAATTGTTCGTTCGCGTTGTGTAAACACGTTATTTAACAGCAAATTGCCGGCGAGGGAGAAAAGGAGGCGCCATTTTCGCCCGCGAACGGAAGAAATTCTGCTCTTGTAATTGCTGCGCGCTCCTGTCTCTCTTTTCCTCGTTTAATTAGCGATGATGTAACGAGAATTTTGTCACGGAGCTCGCGACGTGTTTTTCAGGTGGTAACACTGTCGTTGTACGCCTACTTTTTCTCGGCCTTGCTCGGCAGACAATTCGTCGGACGCTCCGAAGGCACCGGGAAGTACGAGGAGCCAGACATGTATTTCCCGTTTTTCACGACGCTGCAGGTGATTAGAATAAACGATATAATCTGCAAACGCCAACGTAAAGGCAGTAAAGTCCTTCCGCGTAAAGCCGCTAAGACCGTTTATACATCCGGCGTATTTTTGCAGTTTTGTTTTTACGTCGGTTGGCTGAAAGTCGCCGAGGTGTTGATCAATCCGTTCGGCGAGGATGACGACGACATCGAATTGAATTGGCTGATTGATAGGCACATCAAGGTACGTCGAGCGATCATTATAATTCGCTGCTTCGTAGCCACATGCTTAATGAGCCGTTACGTCATTACTTATGAATCTCCTCGGGAGGAACATCGTATTACGCAAAATGTAAACTGCGTTTATTCCTCCTATACTCCTGAATTTGAAGTACGATGAAGCACTTTGGCATGCAAGTGCACCTTTTTTCGCCACTACTATGCGCTTTAATCTTTTTGCCCCTTATCACGCTAATGTAGTCTTTCTTATCATCATGCTCGTGTATCGTACAATAGGCGGGTTACATGATCGTCGATGAGATGCACGAGGAACACCCGGAACTGCTAAAGGATCAGTATTGGGACGAGGTCGTGCCCAAAGACTTGCCGTACACCGTCGCTAGCGAGCAGTATCGTAAAGAAGAGCCGAAGGGCTCCGCGGAACATTACAAGGTGAAAGATAGCGACGCTCTTTACGCGAACGTGATGTTGGGCACGCAGATTCACAGTCACGCGCAACACCGTAAAGCTCATCAGGATGATATGTATGCCGATTATGTGAGTACATTATGATCGTTTATATAATGCTTTCTTATCCTCATCTCTCATCCTTTATGTCCAATTTCTTCACCTCTAGATAAGTTGTCGATAATTTTATCCATGAGATACCTGCCAGAATCGGTTTTCTTCACCTTTGTAAAATTTATATCCGGCAGATAAACTTATCCGGTACCTGAAGTAGCGGATATCTGGCAGATATTGATTTCAGTGCTCTGACATAGTCTAAAAATTACAATAATATGTAATTTGTTGTTGCTATTGCTGTTTTTATGAAAACACAACATGGATTTGTTACTGATGAATATTAATATTTTTGAATCTGATGATGATGATGATAATGAGGAGGAATTTGTGGAAAGAAGACCCTATATAAAAAATAAACCGAACAATTTTCAAATGTGAGATGACACAGAATTTTTCGGACGATTTTGTTTGAAAAAAATACAGTGCTCGAATTATTACGTGCAATTGAAGACTGATTGTTAATACTGTGGAAATTACTTTAATTAGTTAATACTAGCCCGGAAAAGAATATGCTGCTGGCAGAATATGGTGATTTATAGTAAATTTCTAGTACATTTTGCGTCAAAAGCTAGTAGTATGAAGAATAGCTATCTGTTAGATACGTAACCAGAGATTTTAGTAAAGAAAACGAATTTTTTTATCTGAATTTAGTTATCGAATTTAGTTTTCTGACGGATATCTTCATCTGGAAGATAGCTATCGGCAGGTGTGAAGAAACCGGGCATTAGCCTTCATCCCTTTCTCATTCTTAAGATTAGTGCGGAATACGCTCTTAAAGTTTTGCGCCATGCTTACAAAGCATTCTACATACTCGTGACGTCCCAGTAAACATCGATATCTTGTAGACATCTGAAAGATATCTTATGAAAGATATCTTCAAGACATTTCTAAAAGATGTCTAGAAGTTGTGTAAAAGATATCTAAATAGATTTCGTTGAAGATATCTTTATAGAATTTCTAAAAGATATCTACAGACATCTAAAAGATGTCTTTAACATTTAGATTCCTAAAAGATATCTTTTCGGAGAAAATGTAAGATATCTTTTAGAAATTTAAAAGATATCTTTTTCTCTATTTGGGGTTGAAATGGCCAGGATTGGGAAGTAACTTGTTATTTGTAACGAAGTTACAGTTACAGTTATTTCTTTTTTTTGGTAACTATAACTTAACTTCAACTCCCGTTTTCTCCATCTACAGCTGCAACTTAACTTAGTGACATTTGTTTGACAACTAGTAACTAATTTAATAGTTTAATACTTTAAGAATTACTTTATATATTTCAAACTTAAGTTTCTGGCAGACTAGCGCGATAACGCGACGTGTGATGCTTGATATCCAATAAGCATATAGTTATTCTGGCTGCATTTGCGTCATCCATCTTTATCGTTCATTAGATGTAAAACAAGAATAAAGTGACTTAATAGCGCTAACAGTCTCCTCTCCGAACGCAACTTGTATTCCTTTCAAAAAAATTGTACGCCTATTGGACATTTCCGTCCCGCGTCGCCAATCCTTATTTATTAAAGCCCGTATCAGACTACGGATTAGGATTGAATATTGGATTGAAATTTAACTAATCAGGTCTAAGTTTACTATATTTGAGATTATTTTCTTTTTTCCAATTGGTCAAATTTCAATCCAATCTCAATCCCAATCCATAGTCTGATACGGGCTTTATATAATCTGCGTTCAGCGTGAAATGCGCTGCGTGGTTTCAGTTATATAAAAAATTCAAGCAATAGATAAAATATCTCATCTTCGGAGAAGGATTGTAAAACGCCATAGCCAGCATATGCAGAAATATTCGAGTTGCGAGTTGCAGAATGTCCGACAGCGCACTGATAGAAAAATATAGTTGAATTAACTATAATCTCACTATATTATATAGTTCATTTTGGCGTCAACCATATTTTTATAGTTCATGGAACCTGCAAAATATAGTAGAATAAACACAAATATATATATAGTCAATGATCGTCTTAAATAATTGTTTAGTTACTTTTACCACATATATGGTAATTTCTCACTCACAAATATAGTGAGACTTAATATTCATATAGTTACATCTGTCATCATTTAGCAAATATTCTGGTAATATTGAATATATAAAAGAGTTACTTTACCTATCATTTTATATTTGTATCCATACAATAATTTTAGTTCAACTTACTATAATTCTTAGTAAAAATATTATATAGTTGGTTATACTGTGCCTATATCGTAATTATTACCGATATTATGGTAATACTTACTATAAATATGATATTTCGGACTATAATTTAGTTACTATATCATTATAGTCCCAAATATCATATACTTTTCTCTCAGTGCGAAAACTTGGAAACAAGAACAACTGGGTATTTCTCTGCCCAGTTGTCATTAATAGTCTTAAAAAATAAATATGAATTGCTTATTTAAATTAATGAATCTAATTTGTAAAAATTATATCCAATATAAGGAATATAATAATGAACAAACTACTTTTATATAAAATTGAAGGAATTTACACAAGAACGGAATTTAAAATAATATCACAATTATTGTAAAAAAGTAGCCGAAAAGTCACGACTTGTTACTTTCTAAATGACTATAACTGTAACATGGTATTTTTGAAGGTCCGTAACTCGTAACTGTAACTAGTTATTTTTTCAGTGAAAAAAACTGTAACTATTAGGTCAATCGGAAAGTTTCGTTCGTTTTTTTATAAAACGTATGGCTTTATTTAAGAAACAAAATGAAAAAGTACATCAATCAAAATATTCGTTCATCATTAGCGATGACATCTTTCGGTCAGCAAGCGAATCCCGCGGCGAAAACTTCGTTCGATCAATCAAAAAATTTATTTGGACTCCAAATAATCATTTGTTAAATTCAATTAAATCGTTCTCTCTGTGTGCTATCGACCGATACAATTGGTAGTCGGAAGGGACACAGTCTGGTGAATAAGCCGTATGGGGTAACACTTCCCAGCGAAGTGTTTCTAACGTTTCCTTGACAGATTTTGTGACGTGAGGCCGAGTATTGTCATGAAGTAAAATCACTTTATGCTGTCTCGTTTCATATTCTAGTCGTTTCTCATGCAATGCTTGACTCAAACGAACCATTTGTTCTCTGTAGAGATCCTCTGTGACTGTTTGATCACTTTTCAACAGCTTCTGATCCCACCAAATACAGAGCATCGCCTTCTTTCCGTGGATACTCCGCTTTGGCGTCGATGTTGAGGGTTAGTCGGGATCGCAAAAAGTTTTTCGACGTTTGGGATTGTCCAAATAAATCCATTTTTCATCCCCAGTGATGATGATACGATGTAAAAACCCCTTTCTTTGTTGCCTAACAAGCAGAATTTCGCAGGTGGTTTTTCGCATTTCAATGTTTCTTGGCTTCAGTTCATATGCCACCCATGTTCCTTCCTTACAAACTTTTCCTAAAGCTTTCAAACGATCGGAAATGACAGATTGAGCACAACTTAATGTTTCTGCAAGTTGCTTTTGCATTTGACATGGGTCTTCGTCCACCAATGCCTGCAGTTCTTTGTCTTCGAGTACTCTTGGCCGTACTCCAGAACGCTCTTCGTCCTCTACATCAAAATCACCACTTTTAAAGCGTCGAAACCATTCTCTGCGTGTTTTATCGGAAGGAGCATTATCACCATAAACTTCTACAAACATTCAATGAGCTTCAGCTGCAGTTCTCTTCCAATTAAATCAAAAGATTAATACTCCGCGCTTATAGTGACGCTTATTTGTCTGAAATTTCGACATTTTCGATGCAATAAAAAATAATGTTATTGATGCAAACGTATACCTTTATATACTGAATGTTATTGACAGATGTCAAAACAAACTATTAAGCTTCGTTTAGACATTAGAGTTAACGACAGCTCTAGCTATAGCTACTTGCCACTAGATGGATGGAACTTTCCGATTTACCTAATAGATACTTTTACAAAGTAAAAGTATCTATTAGGTAAATGTCTTTCTAATTTGGACGACAAACTTTGATCACCGATAAAAATCTGTTTGTCTTTGAGCCCGAGTTTTTTGCAAGGATCCGTAATATTCCGAGCCTGAATATCTCATGCGTTTTAGGAGAGCGTCGACACTCCGTTGGTCGAGCGGAAGAAGAACGGCTGGTTTCAACGACAGATCACCCGTGTGGGCTCGGTGCGCAGCTCTTCGACCACGTACAGCAGCGGTGGTGGTTTCTTCACGCGAAACCGCCACAACAGTGTGTACAGCAGCCCCGAGACCGGTGGTCTGCCACAAACGAACAATCCGAACTTTAAGATGTCGCTATACGATCGTCTCGTGGGACGCAAGAGCGTCCGCAGCCAGCGGATGGGTCGTCAAGGTGTGTATGCGCGCGACTTCGATGAAAAGGCGGTTTCAGAAGTTTAACGAAGTGACGCGGACGGAGGAAGAAGTGCGGCAAAAAAATCATTAGCATTACGCGGCGAACTGTCGTACTCGGCTCTTGTTTGCTCGGATCTTCATAACGACACGTCAGCATCAACGATATATACATATTTGCCTATACGCCTCGATATAATACTCGTGATCGTTACGCAACGCGTAACGCCCGACTTATATTTACTTTCGCATCTCGAACTTTCATTCTCGCCGCTCGCACAAATTGATAGTTTACGCGCGGGGAAATTTTGCTTGTACAGATGCAGGTAATTAAACGGCGTCATGAATCGCGCGATGTGCCCAACGTGCAACACGTGTCACGCGCGATGCCGCGATCGAAACGAAATTCAGAGGAAATTCTCGGGAAGTAATCGCTTTTAATCTCCACATGCAAGGAAAGAGAGAGAGAGGGAGATGCACGCAGAGATGAAAGTACATAAATTATTCGTTTCACTAACACGTTTCCAGAGATACACTACGTCGATACAGGTGGTGTCGGGCGAGAAATTTTTTTCCCCATGAGTCACGGGTGCTGTCGCGAAAGAAAGTCACATGGGATCGCGAGCTTTTCCTTCATCGCTTCCACCATACGCGAGTGATTACGCAACGCGGCGGCTGACCTTGCGTGACCTGAGCGATTTCCGCGATTATCTGCCGTCGCGCTCGGCGCGAGAAAAATCTCTCCTTGTCCTTGTGCATTTCTTTTCCTTTTTTCTGCTATCCCCGTCATCGGAGAAAGACAACGCCGCCGCCGCTGCCGTCGCCGGCGTATGAAACGTATCGCATCCGCGTAATTATATCCTCGTCAACTCGTAACTCGATGTGCCTCCCGTCTGGCGCCAGAACGATGGTCTAAAACCCATTTCCACGCGCTTCGCGGGGGGAAACGTCGTGCGGATCGTTAGTCTAATCGACCACGTCATTACCTATTTTCTACGCGCGACCTCGGGGGAATCGTTCCGAATCCGGAAATCCAGCCAGCCGACGACTGCGGCGCGCCAAGGCGTCGTTCTAACGGCCGCGATTCGCTCCTAATTGCAGGCACTATGACGAAGCTGAACTCGGTGCCGGTGTCGCTGAAGAACAGGCCGCGCATACCGACTCCGGATGTGACGAAAGAGGTGGTCGACCGTGAGCAGCGGCTCGCGCTGTCGGCCACGAACGCGGCGAACATCGGCGCGGGCGTGGTGGGCGTGATACCAACGAACGGTCATTATCCAACGGACCTATCGGTGGTGGTCTTGTCGCCGATACAAGAAACCGAGGGCACACCCGCGTCGGGCAAGTCCGGCGCGGCGGCCTTGGCGCAGGCTGTGCTCTCGCCGACCTTGACCAGTGCCGGCCTCATGACGCCGGTGACCTTGACGCCGGTTACCATGGGTCACCTGACGCAGTTGGGCCTCATGAAGACCGCGTCCTCCACGACGACGGCCACGCATATCAGCAAACCGGCCAACAATGTCGTCCAGGCGACGCTGACCGAGGTGAACAGCAGCGAAGAGGAGGGCAGCGGAAGCGGCAGCAGCAGGAGCGGGAGCATCACCGGGCAAGAGGACCGCTCGACGCCGTTGATCGACAACAACAACAGCCCGACCGGAAGCAACGGCAGCTCGCCCACCTTCGGCGGCTACAACGATCGCTCGCCGATCCTCATGAGACCCGACAAACTCGGCTACATGGTCACCGCCGGCGTGCTCGCCGGCGCGCAGCTTAGCCACGCGAACGCGGATGCCAGAGGTAGGCGATCGGCATCCTTGCCCGGACCGCCGGTGCTGCAACCGCGGGACGACCGGAGCATATCGCTGCCGCAATCGCCAGGATTGCAGCCGCGGGAGGCTCGAACGGCCTCCGTGTCGGGTAGTAAGCACGGTGGGCTCGTGGACGTGGACAAGTTGGCCACCGAACACTCGGCCATTCGACCGCGGACCAGCAGTTTCGGCCACGACTTGTCCAGGCCCACTCACAGGGCCCAGGACGCCTCGAGGAAGATCAGCAGCGTCTCCTGTACGAACGCCTCGCTCTCGAGCGGCTTCGGCTCCGCGTCCTCGACGTCGTCCGCGAGCGTGTCCGCCACGACGACCGTCGCGGGCAGCAAGAGGGGCGAGGTTTATGTTTGATGAAAAAAAAAACCGCGACCCAACGACGGTTCATTCGTCCCGATAATTAGGGGGTATAATTAGAGGGGTAGTTAGAAGGTGCAATTCTCTGCGTTCGCGTTTCCTGAGACTTATTTCCGTCCGTTATTGTGATGTCTCATGAGTGTGTGTGTGTGTGTGTGAACGAGTGGATGTGTGTGCACGTGACGGATTCACGCTTTATTTTTGTAATTTCTCGCTCGTACTCAAAAAGGTGGCATGCTTATCTTTGCGATAGATACTGCGAATAGTAACGCGAATACTCCGGAAATACGCGCGGGGTAATCTATGCCACTCCGCCTCGTGCGTATTATTCGCGTTTCGAATAATTTGCGAATCTTTTGGAATGTCCTGCGGGTAAAGCGCGTTACGGAGGATGTTCCGAACGATCCGCCACTGGAGGTTGCAGTGGCCCTGGCCACTTTTTTAGATATTTCGTCGTCATAACGATCAACGAAGGGAAAGAATTTGTAGATCGCGCGAATATACGTTGTAAATAGTAATTTATGCGTTAAAAACTCTATCTATGACTCGTAACGATCAATCCGACATATAGGAGCGTATATTTAAAATGTATGTGTATATTATGTAATCGTTAATATTATACTCGGCACGAGTGTAAGATATGCTTGAGAATCTCGGAATGTAGGTAGACAATAGGAATGTACGAGGGTAGTCCCAGAAGTACCTGACCTGACCTTAGCGGTTGTTGCTTGAAAAGAATGACTATGATAGAAAATACCAACCTTATAAAGCTTAAGTTTGAAGTTTGACGACGCTACGTTGTTCAGTATTTGTTTGGCAGCCATCAATAGTGAACGCTTTCAGTGAATTTGTAAACATGGAAAAAATTGGTCATCGTTATGTGATACAATACTTTCATTTGAAAGGCCTCAGTCCAACCAATATCAAAGCGGAGCTAGATTCTACTCTGAGCGAAGGAGTCTGCTCCTTCGTTTAAAATAGTAAAATATTGGGTGACAGAGTTTAAACGAGGCCGTACGAGCTGCCAAGATGAACATCGCAGTGGTCGACTGAAATGAGGTGACCATGCCAGAAATGGTGAAGAAAATCCACAAAATGGTATTGGATGACCGTCGACTGAAAGTGCGCGAGTTATCAGACATGGTAGGCATTTCAAAAAGTGCTGTACATCGCATATTGACTGAAAATTTGAGCATGAGAAAGCTGTGCGCAAGATGGGTGCCGCGATTGGAACAAAAACAGCATCGTGAGGATGTTTCAATCGAGTGTTTGGCGAAGTTTCGCAGCAATAAAGCCCAGTTTTTGTGTCGATTCATAACCATGGATGAAACATGGGTCCATGTTTGACCATGGGTCAGGTTCTCACCTGAGACGAAGGAACAGTCAAGACAATGGACCAAGGTGGCTTGATGGCTATTTTGAGGAGCTCGACGATTCCCACTATAATACGGTATCGAAGCTATTGAACATCGCTGGGAAAAGTGTATTGAGCTAAACGGAGACTATGTAGAGAAATAAAGATATTTTTTCCCAAATTTTTTGTGTTTTCTTTGTTAGGTCAGGTACTTCCGGGACTACCTTCGTATAACTGGATCTTCCCGGCGAAGATCACGCGGAAAAGATTGAATGATCTATCGCCGCCGACCGATCATCGACTTACACTCGCGACGAAGGAGAACTACAAGTGTAATAATCGTACGAAACAAAGTACTTTAACCACTTAACGGAACAGATGTTGGAAGTATATCGTCGGTTTTTGTCTTTGTATCGTCGTGCAATAATATAATATCGTAACTGTACGTTACATAGCGCACGCTGTTGTTACATTAGTTTGTTATTAGCAACTCTTATCCGTAATATATCGTAATCTCGTTGTAAATTTATTCCTCCGCGTCACGGTAATATGATATCGTCTTCTACGGATATCTGTAATGTGACGTTTTACGTAGCTGTGTACATGGAGGGTGAGTCTTTTTAATCTTAACAGGCAAATATTTCGAAAATGTGCAATTTTACAAAAGAATGTTTCGAATAAAAGTTGTATGGTTTAAAGGGGGACGTACAATGGTGTCCTTGGTTTGACTTTGAAACGTATATTTAAGGTCGGGTGAAGGTCAACTTAATTTTTTTGAAGGGAAACCTATATTTTTTATTACATTTTCAGATAGAATGAATTCAAATAAATATTTTTGGTATCTTGATAATTTTTTATAGACTCCATAGTTTTCGAAATATTTGGATTCAATGGATCAAAGAACGAAAATTGTCTCGTCTCCATAGCGAGATTGAAATGCAAATGTAGTGGGGATGTCCCGACTGCATCCCCTCCATTGAGGTGACTACGTCTCAAATTGGGCATTTTTGCGCGAAAAAAGAAAACTATTGAGAAGACAGACAATTGAGAAACGGATTAGTCGCGAAGTAATTGACGTAGCGGATTGCTCGTTAATGAAACGCGCCTTAGAAAGTACATAAGTGACAGTCTATGGACGAGCCATTTTAGGTAATTGATTACAAAATAATTGATTACAAAGGTATTAAAATTAAAACTTTGTTTGACTTGATCATTTTTGACATGACTAATTATTTTCCTAGTGAAATTGTCGACATGATAATTGAATATGGAAGGAGCAATGAAAATTCTAGAGAATATGAATTACGGCATCCAGATCGTCGTTGTCCCAGTCATGTAACAACAACCAACCTTATAAATAGGGCTTGTGAAGGTAAATTCTTTGAATCCAAATATCTCGAAAACTAGTTGAATTCGCTCTATCTAAAAATGTAATAAAAAATATGGTTTTCCATTTGAAAAAATTAAGTTGACCTTCATCTTTAAATACACGTTTCGAGGCGTCAAACCAAAGGCACCATTGTACGTCACTCTTTAAACCATACTTTTATTTCAAACATTTTTTATAAAATTACACATTTTCAAAATATTTGTCTGTTAAGATGAAAAAGACTCACCCTGTTTGTGTGTAAGACGCTACGTGGATCAACGATGCCGAGAGAAATCAAATCCGTTAGTTATGTAATGTTCACACATACTTTGTAAATAGTTCCATTTTCTTCTTTTCGTTCGACTTGCCGTTCTCCCTTCCCTCTGTCGTCTCGTTCGAAATTTTTCATACGTTTGTATTGCCATATGTTTGATCGGTGCGCCATACCGATAGCCTCGTACATGCACACACACTTCTTCATTTTGCCATTTTTACACGCGTATCACGTAAAGTGGTAACGCGCGGTTTGTTAGAGCATCCGTGTAAGAGATTAAACGATCGCGCGGCGTCTACGATATTTCCTCGCATGTGCATCCCGATTGTTTCGAATTTGTTCAGTTGTGCCTTGGATTGGCAAAATGCGAACGATGTCGGTACGGCATGACTGATGGAGAATGCGCGCGGGAATATTCGTCTGAGAAAGCGTAAAACACTCTTCAGAATCCAGTACTCTCCGTATTCTCGAACGACGGGAAACGGTTTGAGATAAAGTGCTTCTTGTGTTTGCGCTGATTGACGTGCGGTCGCGGCTCAAGTTGCTTGTAATAACAAAGAGAACCAGAGCTCCTCGTTATTACGGAGTATATTAGTGCAATCGAATCGGGAAAATGATGTGTATGTATATAACCTGCAACTACTAAGTTCATATCCTTATCGAGTTAATAGTGATATGCTCAATGCCAATGCGCACGTAAGCCTAAGCCATAAGTGACAAAGTGCTGTACGTATCGCGAACTATAATATTACGCATATTATCGAGAATATCATCGTTTCATTGCGCACATGTCGGTACGTGTAGACATCGTCTATTATTGACACTACGTACAACGGGAATAGTAACAATTCTAACAACTCGATTAGTTAATTATGCGTGAGTAAGCAAGAGTAAGATTTCGGGGACTGACGGATCTACCAAAAAATATTACGATCTTGTTTTGTAACTATAAATCAGCGAAATGTGTGTAATCCTTAGTTATGGCGAAGCTAGAATTAATTATAATATTATTAAATATCGATATGACAATGATTAGATATCGATACAAGTATAAATAGATATACTTCTTTCTCAACGCGTGAGTTGTACGTTCGGTTACTTTGATTATGATCAAAGGGAACGAAATTTGCATCCCCTGTTTTATCTCGCGAATCATTGCCCAGCCGATTAGTTCAGAGGGATTAAATTGATTGTACAAGTGGACGTAGGTGCGGAGAATGGTTTCATGATGTGTATATGCTGTATTGTGCTTCCATTAGAACGATTATCACGATGCGTGCGAGATGGTATTACAAACATAACTGTAATTATACAATAGCCGATGTTTGCGCATGTACGCATACATCGGCCTGTGATGAACAGAAGAAAAAATAGGAAATATTGTGTGCCTAAATATTGATACTTATTTATATTACTGTTATATGATATGCCTCAATTGGCAATTATATATATATATATATAAACCGAGCCCTTAATTATATATATATATATATTATCTTCATGTAATGACTGTTTTAACTCTTTACACTCGCCAATGCGAGATATAAGGAAAACGAATCCAATTTTGTAGATACTTAATTCACAGTATTTGTATATAAATACATTCCTTGTTATCTCCCATATAAGTGTCCCACAATTATTATAATAGTTATTATATTATTATTAATATTAATAATATTATTATTATTATATGAACAATCAGAAATACATAAGCGACTTTTCTAAGTTTCTCGGTGTCCAGTCACATTGGTTATGATCGCATATCTAGCTATGCCGCGATGTTTTCACATCTCTCTCCCTTATTATCTATTATCTATGTTGGAATAAATATCTTAGAAAATATTAGCGAGTATTATTTATTCGTTTAACCTTTACATGTTCCTGTAAAGATTTTGTTCATCAAACATCACGAACAGTAATGCATTATTTAAATATTAATGGGTGTTTTTTCAGTACTATATGCGTTAAAATATTCAGTCTGCAAATTGCAATCTGAAATAACACGAAATATTGAACATATCGTGTGCGTGAAGAAATTATCAAAATTTTTTTTAAATATCATTGATTTTTCGGCGTTATCTACGACAGATAAAATCACCTATTAGATCCTCAAAATATAAGCTTGACTGAATTTATGATAAATCAAACATGAGAGAGAGAGAAAGAGAGAGAGAGAGAGAGAGAGAGAGAGAGAAGAGAGAGAGAGAGAGAGAGAGAGAAAGAAGGAAAGAACGCTAAGGTTTAATATCAGGTGTAGTAAAAAGAAATCCATTATTTTTCCAATAGATGGCTTTAGTTATCTGTATCTCGCGTTGTATAAGTCCGATCGGGTTCCACTAGATGGCGTTAGAAAGATGAGATTTCGTACTAAAAAAACTTTTGTGACAGTTTTGTGATTAGTTGACTCAGTTTTGTTTGAGCGCGTGTCAAAGATGGACACTAGCAAAGAGAAAATACGCTATATTTTACAGTTTTTCTTCGATAAAAGCGAAAACGCAAACCAGGCGGCTGAAAATGTGAATAGTGTTTATGGTCCTGATACTATAACAGCCAATCACGCGCAATTTTGGTTTCGTCGATTCCGTTCCGGTAATTTCGATGTCAAAGATGCACCACGCACTGGAAGGCCAATTGTCGAAAATATCGATAAAATCATGGACATTGTCGAGTCCGACCGTCATGTAAACACTGTTTCGATTGCCTAAGAGCTAAAGATTGCACAAAAAACCGGAGCCATTTGAATAAGGCTGAATACAAAAAGAAGTATGGGTGCCATACGAGTTAACGAAAAAAAACCGCATGGACCGAATTTCGATCTGCGAATCGCTGCTGAATCGCAA